GTGTGGGGGGGCGGGCGGTTCTCATTTTGTGGTCTTTTAGGCAGCAAAACTCTTTGGTATATAGTTTTTCTTCTCCCCCAAATTGCCCAGTATCAGAATTGGGCTTTTTCTAGAACTGTATTTTCAGAAATTTAAAAATATAAACTATGCTCATATCTTTCTAAGCTCGCCACAAAATGTCACCTTCTTTCTACTTCTCTACAAATGGCATTTGGGCTCCTTAACATAATTTTGGTGTTTTGAGGGTTTGTTTTGTTTTGTTTTGTTTTGTTTTGTTTTGTTTTGTTTTGTTTTAGGTTTGCCAGACAGTACATGTGATAGATAGGGAGAAAATGGTCACACTGCAATCTCTTCTCTTCCATTTCTCCCCTTTCAGAATATTGGACATGATTGCATATGCACCTGGTGTGTTTTTAAGCCACTGGGTGCAGAACTCAAATGTACAGTTGGACATGTGGGATCCAACTGCCTTAACCGCCATGAATGGGCAGCCTGAGAACATCTTCCTAATGTTTTCTTTGGTTTTCAGATTCCCTGCACAAGAGGGATTTTAAATTCAAGTTTATAACTACTTAGTAAACATTTTAGCACCCAAGAAGTGCTTTGAGGCAGTACAACTAACTAAAAGAAGAAAAAAAAATAAAAGCAAAGCAATGGAAAAGTTGTAAGCACAGAGATAGGCAGGACCCCATTCATCCCTACGAGACAGTTGGAGTGAGGGTGAGGGTGGGGTTGAGAGCAGGTGGAAGAAAAGGAAAAGAGGTGGAAAATGAGAGTCACTTCTCATGCTGGTGACCAAGTAAATGCCTTTCTGAGGACACCAGCTTGGCCCTCTCCTTATCTGAACATTCTAGCCTTTCTCCTCATGCTGCACAGGGACAGAACAGCAACCCTTAGGTCTTCACCATCTCAGAAAGGGGCAGAGGAATCGGGCTGCTTTCCAGGAGGTTGGCAGCATCCTGTTCCGAGGGGACTTTTTTCATCCCATTCCTTTCTTGGCTCAGCCTGTGGAACATGGCTCAGCACCATGCTGTGGTCTCTGGGGGAAGCCAGAAAAGCTCCGAACACCATGGAGTCATTATAAAACTCCTTCCACTTGGCATCACGTCTGGCCTCTGAATGCATTTCACCCTCAAAAGGCCCATTGCTGATCTCCCAGTCTGCATCAGATGGAGGCACTGCAGCTGATGACTGGAAAGTCATCGTGGCTCCGTGGGGGCCGCCAGCACAGCAGAGCTGGAGGAAAAGTCACCCATGAGTCACATTGTCCTGTGCACTTGGCAGGGTGGTTACATTTCACCGGAGTCACTGTCAGAAGTTTTAAATAACTCTCAATGTGGTCGCATTCAGCCCAGCTACCTTCATTTCAATTTTGAAAGGAACCCAAATTAAAATGACAGAGGCTCATCACAGGCCAAGATTTGGCTGTGTTCCCATGGAAATCAGGACTTTCTTGGGATGCTGTGGGCAAGAGCATTTGGCATGGTAGACTGTAAAGTTCCACCAGAAGGAAAGCCATGTGAGGAGCACACATCTCTGCTGTTTACAGACCACAGTGCTGTGGGGCAGCCAGTAGAGATGCTTAGGTTCCCCTGGGCCTCCGGGGCCTCTTCAGTAAGCATCCTTATGTCAGTGGGTGCAGGCTCTCCATCGTAAAGGCACTCATGCTGTGCATTCCCTCCCTAGGCAAGAGGGACACACCCAGCAGGCAGGTTTGAGATTCTGATTTTCAACAGTGGGAGAGCATTGAATCACCCAGCCAGCTCTTGCCTGTGACAGGTGTTATGTGACAGAGGCGACAACAGGCAGTCACCTGAGATAGCGGTTCTGCAGTTCAGGATCAAGCGATGGCACAGGAGTGGGTGACAGGGGACTCATCGGGAAGGCCTAGAGGTGGCAATGGCTGAGTCCTGTGTGAATAGGATGTAGGGGCCAGACAAGCGGAGTGTTTATCAGGTCATCTCTCTGTGTTGGAAGATCTGAAAAACAGAGATTCTTGGGAGGACACTGGCTTCGGTCACATGTTTGAGATGATGCTGGGCGAGCAGGGTGTGGGCCATTTGGTCATGGTGAGCTTCCCACACCGTGTTTTCTGCCATTAGCCTGTGACAGCTATGACTGCCAAACAGGGCCATAGAACACCTGCAGGTGCGTGTTAACATCCTTAGCAAGCTGCCCTCGTGAGAAATATGGCAGGTGCCTCTGTGCATCTTAGATGTGTGCAGTAAGAAGGGATGTGATCAAGCCTTGCTGAAACGTAGCCAAGTCCAGGCACCAGCTGCAGTTATTGTCCTGGGCCTGGCTCAGATGGAATCAAACTGAGACCTTTGAGCAAGCTCTGTGAAACGTGTAGAGTAATGAGCAGAATGTGATCTTGGCCAAGGTCTCTCCCCACCACCCGTACTTCCACAGGATGATCCACATCAAACTGGAGATCTGGGATGTACGCTGTTCCTAACACCCTGCATCCCCAGCTGTGTTCCTTGGGTATGAATGGTTGTGAGACACAGCACAGCTCAGGGTTGCCTGGATGTGGCTTTGATTCCCATCTGCTCTCAGACCAAGAACACAATTCTTAATCTATTTGTACCTCTTTGGAAACCTATTGTAAAAGAGTCTTCCAGACTCACTCCCTCCTGCCCCTTCATTGTGTCTCTTGCCACTTGCTGAGGTTGCCTTGAGCTCCAGCACACTGGAGCTCAGTCGTTGAGAAAGTTGACTTTTTTTTCCACCAAACCTGTGCCTAGACTACCTTTTTTCCCCTCTGTGCACTGCCACTGGTGAACCCTTCTCATGCTTTCTGAAAGTGTCATATGCCACTTATGAAAACACATTTCACTTACACTTCTGTTAATGTCACTTCCCAGCCAGGAGGCCCCAGATAACAAGGACCTCACATTCCCCTTCCCCCTTCCATTTGCCTCCCACACCTACCACAGTGCACATCCTACAGTGAGTTAGAAAACCGCTCTCTGATGGGGTACATACAAACACCGCTCTCTGATGGTTACACACTGAATGCAGGGTGAAACCCATTTCGTTTTCAACTCCATCATCTTCATAGAAATGTCCTGTCATTGTTGTGTAATCATTTTACTATCATAATCTCATCCCTGTATACACTCAGTGAGAGAGATTCATTGTACTTTGAACATCTAAGTCAAATTCCTATGAACTTGATTTCACATCATTTTTCCATGGTCTTGACACTGCAAGGCCATTCCCCAAGGATTGGCAGATAATGTGATCTCATACTTACCCTGGCACGGCAATACCGTCTATTTAGATGTCATGTCTCAATGTCAGTTTACAGCGCTGAATTCAGAGAACAGAGAATTAACAGTGTT